AAACGATTTACATTCCTGGTATTAGTTTCTCGAAAAAAACTGATTTTTGCAGTTTTTATGGATCATACGTACCCCAATAAAATAATTGAAAAATAAGTGCATTGAGTACTACATGTTGAACGAAAATAATAGGTAAACTAATGAGAAAATCAAGGGTGGCTCAATGTGATACATACTGTATAAGTCGAATTAATGATATTATCACAAAAAGACAAAATTTCCATTCCTCCGAATTTTTTTTTGATAATCTATAATCCATAAATGACGTTTTTCAAAAACTCTTGATCCGTCTGGTGCCTTACACCGCCCCTGCGTAAGAATTAAAGCCGGTCAAATTCCCCTAATCCCTAACCATCTGTATGTCCTACTTACCATGTTAGCGTAGAGTAAGATGATGATATAATAGATAAAAGGCAGAGTAGTGCAATCGTAGTTTGCTCTGTCTGATTATACATAGTATGGGAATATTTCGAAAGAATATGATATATATATACTTCGTGATTGTATACGAATCCAGACCGTGAGCCGAAGGGCTTTATTCGATTTTCAAAGGGGTGTCTTTAGTTTGGTTGAAAAGGGGTTGATTTGGAGAATCCTTCAGAGAATTCAGATCATTTGAAAGATGATATCAATGAAAGCTATATTGACGGATCGCAGTGATCGCACCTACTTTACTACAGTTCTGAACACCCTAAATGGACCACTCATAATTTGACTCTTTTTCGACGCCCTGTATTTTTTGAAAAAGTTGACCGATTTTCATGCGGTTTTTGATATCACATGTGATATTTCACCGACTTCAAAAAGAGATAGAACACTGAAAAGGTTCGCAGAACGAAACTTATACAGGGTGTAAAGTGGAACCATAACACTATGGTCTACATTTGGGATGCTGCCAGAACTCAAGGATTTTTTTTCTGATTGAAAGTCAGTCGGAAGTTTTCGTGATTTCTCCTTAATTCCCCAGTGGAACAAAAATAATGAAAATCTAACCAGAACTCAAGGTATGCTGTAGAAGTGACAGAACTGTATATACTTTTTATGCCCCACAACATGTTTATTCTTGATTGATAATCGCTCTTATGTAGGTGTTCTTCATTACTAAGCACACTATTCACGGCATTCAATGAAGGAATATGAGTGACTTCCGTGATAACGGAAAAATTAGTCCTCAATGATGATGACCAGGTGTCTGTCTGAAGCAAACTTTGTTATTATTAGAGATACAATTGAGTTTGAATCAGTAGACTTAGACTATGGCATTGTTTTAAACGCTCTTCGCAAGATGGAAGGATGACGTAATGAGGGGAGAATGAGTTCCGACGAAGAATACAATTTTACATGAAAACCCCTGCCTATTACATTATTTTCTGTTAGAACTTCAAGATTTAGATGATGAAGCTTATAAGGAATTTTTCTACTGGGCAAAAATACAGATAGTTTGGCCATTTGAACAACTATCGAACTTTGATAATTATTGCAAAATTAATTGAACTTCATGATATTCAATATCATAAACACGACGACATAACTTATAAGTTACGACTTATCTATTTTGGGGTGTATCTCAGTACAGTGTACACTCCTGTGGAAGTGAATTATTATTCCTGCGTGTGGAATGATTGGAATTGCATAATATGTTTTCACTGGTTTTTGTGGAATATGACTCTCTTGGAGCTTATCACGTCATCGAAAGCTAGCGATTTTGAGGTGTTATTATTATAGTGGAAAAAATATATTTGTGATGATTTTGAATAATGTATGACTCAATCAAATTCTATTAATATTTATATATGGAACCGAGTATGGAACGATAAAAATGTAAAATAGATTGACGTCTTATCAATTCGGCCAGTGTGTACAACCCAATTCGCATCTTTCCAAAAACCAATCTAAATGATGTTATTCTTGATCATATCATAACTATTATAATCTACCAGTCATATACAGTAAAAACCAACAAAATAATCCAATTTTCATAGTGAGCTTAACATTTCCCCTCGCAATTGCGTAAGCTTAGGCAACTTTTGATTTGGTTCGACATACTTCAGCTATGGAAGATACCACATCCTTATAAATGTATTATTTCATCACGTGATCCGAGACGGGATCTATATAAAATTGTTGTAGAAATAGTCATTCATTAGATGGCGATAACCCTTTTGTAGGTATTCTTCCCCTTTTGTGTAAAAGCGGAAGTGCGTGACACTTTGGAGCACAGGAAGTACCCTCTCAAGAGGGTACGCGAAGCATATCTCCCGATGAAATCCCTATTATCGGAGTGTCTGGCGATCTTCGGTCAAATCGAATATTGGCAATGCGAACAGTTAACACTGACGAAGAAAAAAAATTCATGGAAGATGCTTTTCTGAAATATCAACAATTATTCCTCCATTGGCAGTCCCCGCGAGATTAACCCCTTTCATGGTCACTCTGGAGATCTGCAGAACATCTCTTTCCAAAGACTCATTCATCCAACGAACAGCGAGGCTCTGGAACACATTGTCAAGGAAGGTGTTCCCCGAGGCATATAACCTCCAGAAATTTAAGAAGAACACCAATTCCTACCTTATTTCCCTTGGTTCTCACGATGTTCTCTGAACATTACATCAGGATATCCCTTTTCGTGGGAACCAGAACATAAAAAAATAAAAAAGGTTACTATTTACTATTCTTATCAATTTAGGAATCAGTCCATTTATATCAATGCTTGTCACTACACCCAGAGCTGCCTCTCAGAAGCTGGGAATTATCTTTCGTGCCAGGAAGTATTTCACCTTTCACAAAGCCCAATTTCGACCATTTCTTGGGTATACTGTTCGCATGTTTGGAGCTGAGCTCCAAACCGCCAGTGTAGCCGCGGTGGTACATTTGTACCAAATGTGGTATATTTAATTCTGTTTTGTACGGTGGTACTACATTTTGAATTTAAGGCATTTTTGGTACATTTTCATGTTTCTGCTCCTATATGTATAAAATCACAATATTCATATCGTCGCTGTGAAATCAAACCGGCATATCTGCAAATAAGAGGGATTTTTGAGATATTGGTATCAAAAGAATCATTTTTTCACCTCTTTGAGTGAGTCGAACCGGCATATGCATAGTATCCTTGTGATTAGTCAGGTACCGTTGTGCCGGTATGAATTTTGGCGAAATTCAGTATATGTTCATAAGCAGTTAACAGGTGTATTGCCAATGCGTTAGTCCAGCATGGGATGTCGTGGTGAAAACTGCTGCAGCTTGTAGGTAAAACCGAATCATCTCCCAATACTACCGTTCTCTAATCTGTACAGGCGTAGCCTCGGGCGTGGCATATTGGCAGATACTCCAGACACTTTTGCAAATTATACTCATATTATAAACTTTGAAGTAATATACCGACATATCTGCATATTTTTCTGTTCCCAGAAAATGTTATTTGCCACTGATGCAGCTACAAGCAAAACCGAACTCAATTTTATGCACAAATACAGGGTCGTGCAGAATTCAGAATCTTGATCACCCGGTATATGTCCCAATTAAATATCAGTAGATAGTTAATCAAAAGTTGAGATAGGGACATGTAAGCCGTTTTGACCAATAATGAATAGTTTCGACAAAAAAAAATCCTAAAGTTGAAAAATGACGATTTTTCACACCCTATATCTCTGTAATCATTTCCGCTAGACCCCGAGTGTGATGCATCGATGAAATCAGCTCTTCAGAGAGAATCTGAAAATGCAATAAAATACAGGGTGTTTCATTTAAAATAACAAAGTTGTTGCTACTTTTCGATAGAAGCGGCAACGCCGCAGAGCTGAAAATATTTTAGATCGATAGACCAAGAGCAACTACGTGAGTAACCAAAATTTCAGAATGATCCTATGTCCCGTTCTCCATAAACGTCTAACGTACCATCGACCGTGAGTTACCCTGTATATCTCAGCTATTACTCGTGCGATTTTCACCAAATTTGGACCGGTATGAAAAACCATCAATATGATCAGTATTTCAGAGACGAACATCATTTTAGACAGTGCCGTGCGTTTTTATCAAAATGAAAAGGGGTAATTTTTTATGAAATCATATTAAGAGGCACATCTATTATTTATTCGGAAACAGTGCGTTCAACATAAAATAGTAACAACTTTTTTTTCTTGGTTGTTTCTTTCAAATCATGATTTTCTACCTAACGGAATCATTGAACGTTCCAAAATTTGCAGTTGATTTGAATTCACGATTTTTTCGAAGCTGAAAATGCAAAAAAAAACCAGGCCTATGAATTCATAATGAAGTGATTTTTTGCGTTTATATGGAGGTACTCGAAACCATGGGATACAATAATATGATTTCGTAAAAATCAATCCCTCTTTATTTCAATTATTAAAAAGCACAGCACTGCCCAAGCCCTAGAGGGATGTTCGTCTCTGAAAACTGATCATATTGATGGTTATTCATACCGGTCCAAATTTGTCAAGATTCGAACGATTAATAGCTAATAAAAGATTAAAGGGGGAACTGTTTAAAGTGAGACACGTTATAATAATCATTTTGACATTGTCGCCGATTTTACATTTCACACGTGTGTAGCCAACTTCACAACAAGGAATCTCATACCTTTGAAATTATGCTGAATTATTGGTGGGTCCTCCGTAACTCCGTATCAAAGTGAAGTCATCCATTGGATAAAGAAATCCAAATTAACGATGAACTACAAACAATATTTCGTGAAAGATAACATACTACTATATACATTTGCTTTTATAGTGACAAAAAATCACATATCGAAAAAAAAATTGAATACAGGCTGCTCCTTTGAAAAATATGACTTTGTGGTTGTAGGGACACCCTGTGAAACTTCTGATGGGAGTCGTGAAAATGCCTTCGATGGATAACCCTGTACAAACCAAGAGGTCCTTCAGCCCCTGTGTTTTTCTCATAAGATTTTCATTATTAGTTGAAATCAACAAACTGTTTTCAGAATCGCAATACCTTTCATGATACCATTATGTTTGTTGCAGATTCAAAACGGAGTTCAAGAGGGAGGATTCTGAGGAAATTGACAACAGTGGAAATGAAGACTCAGATTTCGATTTTATGGAAAGAAATGAGTCTGACGACTCTGCAGGCGGAGAACAGCACACGAAATCCAGGAAATCTATTAATAAGGGCCGATGGAGCAAAGAGGAGGTTATTTATTTTTGATATTTTTGAGAACTATAACTATAAATCAAAACATTTTGCTAAAGCCTAACGTCCCATTTATAAAGAAAATATCCTAATAAATTTGTATCGATCTGAGGTATCGACTTTGAAAACTTCATTCTCAAGATGGCGATAGGGTTTAAAATATTCTTAGAAAACGGACGAAAAAAAAAAGAATGGATCATGGGTCAAATCTAATGATGTAAAGACAAAAGTGTGCAGAAAACTGCGTATATAAAATGGCCTAATTTTTTAAATTTGAATCAATAGTACAACAGTACTTATTATAATATGTTGTAGTACTTCAATCGCGATTTATGCAACACTCTTTTAGTTGAAATTCGATAGATGTTATTGATAATTATGCTATTTCTTGAGTCCTCTTGTCCACGTTTTTAGTTAATATATCGGTTACACTAAGTTATGGTAAAAGGAGAAATAAAAATAAAAACAGAAAGATATTTGACCGAAATATCTCATGAAATGCCATGATTTTTATTCATAGGGAGGGGCATCGTTGTCATTATTTGACATGAATACAGCGCTGGCAATGTTACCTACGTTATTGCAGAACCATCCCTTGGAAAATGTTTCAACAGGCGAGCGGACTAATTTCTTTTTATTCCTGGCCTGAAACAGAAAACCAAGTTTTTGGGATGCACTTTTAGCAATTGAACTCACGTGATTTTCCCAAGAAAGGTTATTGCTAATAGTAATACCAAACATCGAAATGGATGGATGGAAGGTTTTTTTTATCGCTTGGAGGGCACGAATTTAACTTCTGTAGATTATATGTTGGGCACAGTGGGATCGGCTTTTCTAGAGAAAAGGCATGCTTGTGTTTTGTTTGCATTGAAATCTACCAAGTAGGCATGCTTGTGTTTTGTTTGCATTGAAATCTACAAAGTTATTGGATCCCCATTCGAGAATTGTTGCCAAGTCCATATTTATGTTGTCAACATTTCTTCCTCGTTCGTTTCTGTTTTGCCTGGCTGGTATTGGAGCCCTGGAAGAGAAGGCGGTATGGAGGGTACTATCATCCGCAAAGCTGTGTACTGGACATGAAGTTGCTTCCAACAAATCATGGAGTGGAAATAGTGTTGGTGCTAGAATTGATCCTTGCGGAACACCAACATTTATGATAAGAGAGTCAGATCAGCGTACATTTGAGATGAAACTAGCTAGCAGAGAACAAAGCTGGGAAGGCAAGCTCGAAGGCAAGCCATAAGATGGAAGCTTGGCGAGGAGTCCGTGGTGCCAGACTCGATCGAATGCCTTGGAGCCACGGCTAAGGTTTCACCATATTTTCCAATAGATTGCTGCCATAAATGTGAGACGTAAGCGAGCAGGTCACCAGTTGATCTCTCATGACGGAAGCCATATTGTCTATCGTTGATGATACCTGATGGTTCCAGGTATTTCATGAGCTCGATGTTGATAGCTTTCTCCATGATCTTTGAAATAATAGATATCATCAGTGCGATCGTAGTTGCTAGGTAGGGTCTTTTTGCCTTTTTTAGGAACTGTTTGTACTCTTGCGCACACTGAATCAATAATTCTGGCTTCCAACATAATGGAATCGTCGTTAGAAATTACAAATAAGCTCACTTACAATCGCCGGACTTTAATAGCAACCACTACTTCTCAAATTAAATCAAATTACCCGCCTAAAAATATACATTTCTGTTAATTCCCAAATTTCATAATCTGAAATGAATCATATACAGGGTGTTTCAGACTCAAATGTACATACGATACTTGCAGATTGAGGACACTTTGGTGATTTCTAAACACCTCTCGTTGATGTGTCTACCGTGTTTTATAACTGAGATACAGTAAGTTTTCTTGATTTTGGCGAAATCTTCATCTGGTCATAACTTTTGAACCACTATGTATAATCTATTCATACTATTTGGGAAGAGCGGGAAAAAATTAATAATGTGAAATACTTTTCACGAGCGCGCATCCCATTTGACATATGGTTTATTATTATGTTTTGAAATATTCAATTCCATTTTGAGATATTTTAATTGAACTCGTGATTCAAAATCCAATTTCAAAACGAAAAAATAACATTCTCCAAAATTGAACATCAACAGTCAAATTAGGTGAACTATTTATAGATTTGTTCGTTTGTTAATGATCTTAGAAATTTTCGAAGACTCATTTCATTCTTCTCTTCACCATAACCTGTGGAAAGTAGGCTGTGCAAAACATTTTTAAATTCTATCAGTTCATTATCACTGGTGTGATATTATTGGTGGGGTAATGCTGTTGAGGCATAATTATGGACATTTTGAAATGTAACAATCCAATATATACAAGCAACAACAATAATCTTAACGTTACCAATGATATCACACTAGTGAACTGTCGGAATATCAGTATTATTTGCACAGCCTACTTCACTGCAGCTCATGAAGCAATAGTGAAAAATAAATTGAGCCCTCAAAAATTTCAAAATCCACAGACAAGTTATTCTGTCAAACGAACAAATGTTTCGATAGTTAACCTAATTTGACTCTAATGATGTTGATCTTTTGAGAATGTTATTTTTTTGTGAAATAATTGGATTTTGAATTACGAGTTCAATAAAAATGCCTCAAATCGGATGCGCGCTCGTAAAAAGTAGATCACTTCATTAATTTTTCCCTGCTCTTTCCGAATATCGAAACAGATCTACAAAATTTTGCCATACAAGGTGTTGTTTTTTGAATAAAATAATTTTCCTGTTTTCTCTCACGACGGACCTGGATTCTGATCCCGATTTTCATTTTGTTTTGATGGGTAGAATAGGTGAAATATTCCTACCTCGTATGGTATTATACAAAGTGGTTCAAAAGTTATGACCAGATGAATATTTTGACAAAATTAAGATAACGTCCTGTATCTTAGTTATAAAAGACGGTAGACACATCCGAGGGGGTGATTTGGAACCATCAAAGTATCCTCTATCTACAGGTAGCGTATGTACATTTAAATCTAAAACACGCTGTATAGCGGAGATCGGTTTTAGGTACATTCTATCATCTTTTATGAGATATAATCATTCATATTCCAAGTTGTTTCACTAAAGGGGCAGTATGTATGTGGCACCCCTGTATATAATCGGGATTAGGCGAGCTATATATATGCGTGGTGATGGTGATATGGCGATATTATGCAATGGGGAAGACCACTGAGGAAAGAAATCCGTGCAAACCTCTTTCAATCGACGAAGGATGATTTACATTTTATGTACAATCAATATTATGAGTTGAAGTTGAAGGAAATCGAATCTATATCGTTTTGAAATCAGCACATTTCATTCGATATTTCAAACAGCCAAATATGATGGTGGAGTCGTGACGTATTAGTCCCGAACGTTAGCTATCTCTCTCTGATACCTCGTCATTCTGCAGTGTTGCAGTGTAATTGGTCAGTTCAAGGACAATAGGCGTGTTGGGACTAAGACGTCGCACCAGTCACACCAATGAATTGATGAAATTTCAAATGGCGCAGGAATTGTGTGTTTTGAAATGGACATATACTAATTTATTTTTTTCATCGTCTTAACATGAATGAAAAAAATCGAAATTGATTCACTGGTAGTTTTTCAGTATAGAGTTCACGATAATGTCGTTTCAAAAAATCAGTGGTCTTCCCCATTGCGAAATGGTCATTGAATAGAAACGAATGTGGATCTGAATCTGTCTTCAAACATCTAACCGAGTGGAACACCCTTCCTCCCTCCATATGTTGTCATCATTTTCCATGGCAGAACTAGCAGAAGGCATGGGAAAATCGTGAACGAGCATTGTGCGGCTAGAAAGGGTGGGAATAGATTGAAAAGAGGATAGGTGAGAACAGGTATTTGGATGGACGGACCACTAATGGATGTTGATGTTATATCGTGAAGGCGCGGTTTATGTTGAAAACTAGTCGAAAATACGTGATACTAAATTAAAGGCAATGGCAATAGTGGCAACGTTTATACCGTATGGATAGTTGGTATGCTCCCCAAGGAGATCTAACTAAATTCAGACTAAATGCCTTAGTTAACGCATGTGTACACCATGTATCTTCAGTTGACTAACGTTACTTACGTTACCAACTTTGTTTTGATTTGATTGACCCTTCCAGAACACGTGATTTTGACATGGTTTCTTGAGGGGCACACAAACTATCTGTTAGGTTACCTTCGATGAGCATAGCCCTGGCCATCCCTGCCATATTCACAATATTATAACAGTTTCACCAAACAAAATTATGAAATTCTGGTTCCAACTCGGATTCCAAGAAAACCGATCCCACTAATTCTGGTTTCAAACAGAAAACAAGCTAACGATGTTGTTAGTATCACTCTTCAGACGCTTCCAGATAAAAGGGATGATATTCTAAATACCTACTATCTAAGTAGTTCTAATGCAGCCAAACAGAAATTGAAAGAACTGAATGTTGAATTTTCGATGCCGAGAATAACAGGGAGAATGGTTCATAGACCAAATACGGTTTCCTCAGTGGATGACCATTACAGAATAACTGTTTTCATTCCAGTATTATTATTGATCTGAAAGAAGGAATATCAGAAAATGAATTGAACCTATACAACCTTCACCTTTGTGTGCCATCTCAATAACTAAAAACAAAACAGATGAGGAAATTTATGAGGTATGGGAAATATACTTGAACAGTTTTGGGGAGAATAATGAAACCTTCCAGAAGATCGTTTCTGAAATGTATATATGGAAGAAAATGAGGGATACTAAGCAAAATATACCAAACTGGTATAACTGCCCTGAAGGAATGTAACAAACATTTGTTTCCTAACATAAACATCCTTCTGGAACTATTTTCTTGCCTACCTGTAAGTGTTGCATCTTCTGAAAGAAGTTTTTCAACACTCAGAAGGCTGAAAAATTGGATAAGATCCAGAATGGTCCAAGACTGGTTAAATGGATTGGCATTGATGCATATTCCCAGAAGCATCTGCAGCAGTCTGAATGTTGATGATATCATCTGTTTCATTTGTTTTATTTTTGAAGAAAAATATTTTCATTCACTTTTGTACCCAAGTTTTTCAACAGAAATATTTTTTCATTCACTTCTTTTATCCAATATGATTTATTACAGAATTCTACATACATTGATGGAAAATTTTATAACACCAGTAATTTCGATGTTTACTATGATCAGTTTTTTTAATGAAAAAGCATTTGTCTCATATAATTTCTCTTCCGCGCTAACCTTATTGAGCCGAGACTTTCTATGGCCCCCTCCTCAAACATCGTCTGGATCCGCCCCTGCACTCAAGTCAATTAAAGGCTATACAAAAGTAGACAAAAATGTTTACACCGTCTTGGTCATCATACTATTTTAGTCTGGTACGCAACAAATTTCGGTACCAAACCAAGCTGGTAACTTTACCAAGTATACAGTTTATACCACACTGACCAAGAGTATTTAGTCGAAATATAGTCATTAGTCAGCTTACCAAGACACGGTATAAACGTGGCCAGTAGAACGGTTGGCAACGTTGGGTGGATAATTTTCATAATAATAATAATAATAATAATAATAATAATAAGTAAGTTTATTAACCACTGTGCAATGAAACAACAATAACAAAAATAACTAGATTATCTACAAGAAATATAAAAATCTTCAGATTCACACTCGGTAAACAAACTTCAAAAACCCACAAAGGCGAACCTTGAATGTGGATATATGGAGCATGAAGCATAGTCCCAGGAAGGAAGTAATGCTCGAAGTCATCTCCACAAATTTTAATGATATTTTTAACTAAATCATGAGGGACATGTTTCGCGGTCTTATAAAAGACCATCTTCAGCCTAATTGAAAGGTCTACAATACAAAAACAAATGATATTGAAATGAAAGGATTACCTATTTTATGCTAGACTTACTTGGAGTTGAAAAAATTATTTTATTAAATGCTGCTATTCCTTGAACTGTCAATGCCCATAGTCGAGAGTTCCAAAGTTCTGAATAAACGCGGGTTCTCAATAAATGAAGGGCCCCGTGCCCTGAGAGCGTATACTATGCTACTCATCAGGGCACGGGGCCCTTCATTTATTGAGAACCCGTTTATTCAGAACTTTGGAACTCTCGACTATGGACATTGACAGTTCAAGGAATAGTAGCATTTAATAAAATAATTTTTTCAACTCCAAGTAAGTCTAGCATAAAAAAGGTAATCCTTTCACTTCAATATCATTTGTTTTTGTATTGTAGACCTTTCAATTAGGCTGAAGATGGTCTTTTATAAGACCGAAACATGTCCCTCATGATTTAGTTAAAAATATCATTAAAATTTGTGGAGATGATTTCGAGCATTCCTTCCTTCCTGTGAAATATTTCACTCCACTTTGAGCAATATGGAGTTCTACCAAAGATGAAGCATAGTGTTGAAAAAAGCCAATATAATAGTGAATAAATACAATAAACTTATAATAAGGACCTATAGAAATATGCTACTCGCAGCATGTTTAGTTTATTATTTTTAGTCATGGTTCTATATTCCATATACAGAGTGAACCATTTGAAAGCGACCCACCCTAATGAATCTTTTATTTATGTAGCGATTTTAACGAACTTTTTTATTAAATGTGGAGGGAGGAAAGGTGTATTTTGGAGCATAGCGGTGTCCAGTTTTTCTAAAATTCAAGGCCTACTAGAAAAAATCTGCGTACGCCACTGGGATAGGCGCCCTCTGAAATAGATTTGTACCAATCTGTAACAAGTTTCATTAAAAAATATTCAACATTAACAAATCCTAATCCTATGAAAATACTTGGATGCAAATTGTGCGAAAAAACACCGTCCCATTTCCATGGTTTTCGGGGATATTTTCTGCGTTACTATAGGTATTATAATATTTGAATCCTTCATTTGGGATATTCGATCATCTTGACTTCCAAATTACCTACCCTCTGATCCTTCAAATTTATCAATTTTTTTAATCATTCTCTTTCAAATATTTCTACTATCTCGAAACCACTCATGAAGAAAGTAGGGTGATAGTAGCGAAAACCTCGGCGAAAACTATAGACGGATTCATGCAACATTTATTAGGTTAAAGTGTATAAGAATAGCTTTATACTAAACTTTCGCCTAATAAAGACCTATTATTATTTTCATTATAATTACATTTTCATTACATTATAATTACATTTTCACTAGCCGTGAGGTACCAGTTCATGTAACCTATGGTCAAGTTTTTTGGAAAAAATTGTCATTCAATGATCTGATCTTCCAAATCAGTCGTTTTCACTAGATCTATTGTGTAATTATAATGTATAGTTGAAAGTTGGTCAATTTCCTAGTGCACTAATATAATGAAAATGTGTTATGTGTTACATGAACGCATTCTCTGAAAATGTAAAAACTTCACAAACGATAAGATTTACACGAAATCCTTGATCACACTACATGTTTCGCTAACACAGTAGCATCATCAGGTGAAATACTGGTACAATGAAGCATACTATGGAATGAAATGAAGGTTTCAAAATTCTTGATTTATAATCTGATGAAAATGTTATTATGATGAACGTTGCATGAATCGGCCTTATAATCGCTATAATCACCTAAACACATAACTTTTTACAGGACACCAGGTTAAAACAGCTAGTGGAAGAATTTAACGAGAAGTGGGATTTAATTGCTGAAAATTTCCCGGATAGATCCGATGTCCAATGTCAGCAAAGGTGGACGAAAGTCGTCAACCCTGAACTGGTCAAGGGTCCCTGGACAAAAGAAGTGAGTTTACGAAGGAGCTATATATTGATTATTTTTTCCACATGTCGAAATCTCAAAATGTTGGTGATTTGCACCAATAACAATGCGTAATTCTAGCAAATCATTCGAAATTATTATAAGTACTGATGATACCTACTGCTCCTCCTCGATTAAACCTTGTTTACATTGAACTGACAAAATTAATCAGACCTAATCGTGAAATTAAATCAAGTATTGCAATTATTCTCCGAGAAATCAAAACGTAAACTTTTTAATCATCATTCAACATAATAACTTAATTATATTATACGACTTACCTATAGCATAGATTGCCTATAGGCATCTTCGCTTGTAGCCCTAAAGGACTGGTGATTTTATCAATCGGTTTGTTCTCATATTTTTGCCAAATAAACAATTTTTCGTGGAAATAAAAAATTCTTGATAACATTTTAACGATTTGTGGTATTACCTTCGATAATCCAACAAAATGATATTTCGAATAGATATTTCGAAAATAACTCTAAACACAAACAATGTAGGCGAAGTTATTATATCAGCAATCGTCTTCTTGCTGAGCCACCTTCCTTTCGATAACTATGTTTTGAAATCATAATCATAATTTCTTGAAAACCGGTATTTGCGTAGGTTTTAGTTTGAACACCAAAATCTCTTCTCTTCATTACTATTTCAATTTCAAATAAGAATGTGACTAGAATAGTAAGATGTTGATAACTTTATTATTGTATATCTCTACTTCTTTCCATTCTAGATTTTGATTTGTTAAGTGAATCGGGTCAAGTGATATCTGTATTGATATTGAAATCTGAGGTTGGGTTATTTTTTTCAAAAATGTAACTGGCCACGTTGTTAAGAAATAATTGAATAATCAAAGAGTTAGGCAAAGAAATGTAAATGACACAATCATCATGTTTGTACCCAAGCTTTAGACCAAAAAGAACAATTCTGTTCAAAAATATAAGAAAAATAGTTATGAATTCATTTTGAAATGTTATTAAAACCTTGGTTGTCTAAACGATCTGGTTTATCCGATAATATTATGTGAAAACATGGACTGGGTCTTTAGTCAAATCAAAAGATCAAATTCATTCATCAATCTATCGAAGTTATTTTTCTGGTTATTTTTGTACTATGGTATTAACATTTTAACGGTCTTGATTCAAACACTAAACTTGATGTCCTTGAAATATATGAGTACATAATATTATGATGTAATATCTGCGCTATGAATTTGTTATGTTTCATACTACTGTATGGCGAGTTGATTGAAAGAAGTTCCTATCAGAACAATTGTGTTTGAAGAAAGGCGTACCCAATACCACCGACAAAAATGAAAATGTATGGTACCTATTTGAAATTCTTTTGGTTGAGCTTTCAACTGCCGGAAACCAGGTGAATGATAAACTGTCACATTTGCATAAAAATGTGTGTTGGCGTCACCTCTATACCATAACATTGAATAATTTCATCTGTATTTATCTAAGGAGACTTCAGAATACTGTGTACTTATATTACATACATTTCGTTAGAAATATATATTATATATGTTCAGTTGCACCTAGGCCAAGGTTGGGCCAAGGTTAATAATATCATATTATGTTATATAGGGTATACAGGGTGAATCAGAATAAGACCGGCACACTCAATTCGAAACTTACTATATAGACATATTTGAATTACATTCTTGAAAACAAACTAATCAATAAAATAATTCAGACCAATCCGGATCACACAATGAGACTTAGAAGAGGTGGTTTTGATCTAAAGACCAACTTTCCTTTTTTTTTTCGTTTTTGAAAAAGGCATTCCTTATAAGTTATCGAAGAAACGCATTGAATATGAAAACTCAAATAAATACCATATATGTTATAAAAATAACATGAAATTAAATTTTTCAATACTTAAAAAACAAAACCCCCTAGTTAAAAAAAAAATTCATTCGATAACATCCATACGTATGTGGAATTGAGATTGCAGACGAGTTATCTGCACGAATATTGCAACTTTTCCTAATTTTTTGTACGTCCTTTCCTTTCAGGGGTGAACATTTAGACTCTTCCACACTCCATTATTTCAGAAGTCTCGGCAGTGAGAGTATTTTTTTATATCAATTCCCTCTGTTGCGACTTGTCTCAAAAATTTAACATATTTGTAATTCACTGAAGACTTGTAATAATTACATGGAACATGAGCAATAGTTTTCATATCTATTTATCTTGAAAATATTGAAACTTTTGCGATAAGGTTATGATTAATAGATCGGATTCAGTGAATACATCAGAAATGAGTTAACAAAAACAAATTCGTTACACTGTAGATCGCATAGGGTCTGTTGATTTTCAAGGCGTCACAATCTCTTAATTCTAATTTCTCACAGTATAGCTGGATTTATGCACGACGCTTTTTCGTTACTCTTTCATTTCATAATCATCAACGTTTCCACTAACTTGTTGAAACATTGGTTAACAATATAACCATTTATACATCAAATTTGTCATTAATCTTTCATTAACTATTCGCTAAAAGATGACCAACTTTTATCTCTTAACGACAAATACAAATAAAACTGTGACTTGCGCAGGCGCGATTCTGTCAGAAGTCAGACAAACAATTTCTTCCTCTTCTTTTGCCAAAATGTGTTTGAAAATTCTGAAAATTCTAGTCGTATGTTCAAATTAGACTTTGAAAACAATATGAATGATTGATTTTTATTGTAATTATATGATCACTGAATGTTCTAACAAACATATTTTCATCGGGCTATGTACGATGACGACTATGTTTTGACCAAGAAGAAGACTTCAAAATTGAAGTGGTGGTGCATAAAGGTATCATAGTCCTTAAATAAAAATAAACTTAATGACAATTAATGAAAGCAACAGATAAATGAAAAAGCGTTGTGCATAAATCCACCTTATATCGTAATGTTTTTCAACCACCTGATATGTTCACAGAACTTTTCACCTCCAAAGAGGTGAGAACCTGAAAACAACCACCCTGTATATTCTACAGAACTGATAGGCAGGTGTATAAGAGTATCATAAAACGGGGACTTATGAAATGATTTTTAAAATATTTTGTATACATAAACCTATAATATACTGTTATACATTAACCATTATTAGGGTTTTCGAGTGTTCCTGGCGAGGTTCCTGGTCATCAAAGTGATATTAACCGAATCCATTCCTGGACTAATTTTTGACTCTAAAAGCCTAGTATGACATATTTTGTGGTTGAAATTGTTGAAACCTGCGAACGTTCAAACTATTCAACATTTGATAGGATCATTGTCGATCTAAATGGAAAAGCTAGTTCGTTAGTTAGTAGGCGAGCAGTAGTTTCATCTACTCACTGACTCGAAATTAAACGTTTGCTCCCTCATTCAAGGAAACTGTTGACAATTCACTACCACGGGTGGAAAAGAATATTAACTCCCGTGAAATAAATTGGCCTCAGAATGCATTCTTTGGCGTCGATATACCCAGTACCTACTTAATAATAATATCCTTTTTGAATTGCAATCTTAATATTCTGAACGTACTCCTAATCAAATGTAGTTACACAATATACAAATCAATTATTTCATGATGACAAAAGTGTCAAATTGACTTTCGTTCAAATGCCTTCAATTTTCCTTAGCATATCATGCACCTTTGTAATGCATATTATTATTTGGATCGAGAGATAGACCGCATGAAGCTCAATTTTAAGAATGATGCTTTAAAAGAATGCGTTCGATGATTAAATCATATATAATATCATGGGAGCAAAGGTTGATTTCCTCCCATGTGTGTTTAATGCCATTCGCTACGCGTCGTGCATCAGACTTCACGGAGAAAATGGATACCTTTCCTCACTTGATATATAAATAGCTATTTCCATTCAGGTCGACAATGATAATAGTATTATCAGAGATTATGTGTGTATATATACATCTACAGCTTCCGAGTAGTGTCTCATCTCCCATTTGTTTGAGAATCTATGATTTGCATTGATTTAATATTTTCAACAGATAAACAAATATGCAATTCATTTTGAAGTAGGTTTATTACACGTTTCAGATTTTCTATGTCTCATTTGAATGATAGTAATTGAGATTCAACTTCTGGTTTAACCGGAAATAAAGAGGTCACTGAACTCTTTAGAGAGACTATCAATAAATTGTGAATAGTGGATGTAGGATTTTTGCTCACTTGTCCTACCTATAGGTCCAATATATAATTTGCTTAAACTATTCTTTTATTTAGATCTCTATCTTTTATCACTATTATTCTAGTGTATAGACATCTAGACAGAAATAAAAGGAAATCCTGAAGCTGGAGCTGTAGTAATAGAAAAGTTCCCTCTCATTCCCCCAGCCACCTGAGTACCGAAAGCCATGCTCGTGCTCCAGCTCCCTAAATCGGATGAATTCAAGGTTCAGTTTCGCCTATTTAGTTCACGCTGAGGTGCTCTAAAACCCACGGCGATATATTCCTCACCGCCCCTTTCTCATTCTTCCAGTTGTTTCTTCACACAATGTCCTCTATATATATGCAGGCTAGGTGATGGATAGAGGACTTTGACCTCTGCAATAACGTGTGCGCTCATGTAACAATAGTTACATTATACCATTTATGTTCAGTTTCATGTTAATTTCTAGTAGAGTGAAACAAAAGTCGAGCTTTTTATATTCCTTCTAACCTGCGGGCAATATACCCCACTCGGTATAACTTCTACAATAAAAGTGGTTTTGAAATAGTGGCGACCTCTCGCGCCAGGTAGATTCAGAATTATTATAGGCCAGTGCTCACCGAAGATCAATGATCTAATCTAATGTACTCTATCAGACTTAAAGACTAATCTAGACCGCCAGTTCTATAAGGAAATAGCTGAGCCACTCAGGAGATCGAACTGGTGAAACTGAGTCATGCGCATTTAGAAACGGCCATGTTATGGTATACTGATGAATCCGAGGAACATATGCGTATCGAAGGAAAAAGGTTGGGAGGTTGATAAACCAT